ATAAAGTTATTATAAAGGTTTAATTAAGAAAATTATTAGTAATTGCACTAAAAAATTTTAAAAATAGCTTTTACAAAATAAGTTTAGTAACAGTTGAATTTTTACTATTAATTAACTAATAAAGTTTTGAGAGGAACTTTTTTCTTGGCAAAAGTGATCGGCGTTACAATTTGTAACGCGCATGTGATTTATAGAAACTCGCATAACTGCGGAGTGATATCATAACGCGTCTTTCCTAGACATAAATTTACACACAGACTTCGGATTATTGGAAAGAACTCATTAAGCAGGAGTCGTAAATTACTGGAACCGAAAGTCGGTTTCTAAAAATATTGGATTGTATAATTGTCTTCGTCAAATCGATAATAAGTTAGATTTAAGGCTGGAAGAGAAGTCACAAGTTCATGCAATCTATTTTAATTATGTCTCAAGTCTTTCTCAGGAGCAATCGATCAATCAACAGTTGCGAAACAAAGTTCAGGCTGAACACAGGGATTTTGCGGTACGTATGCAAACATACGTTGAAACGAACAAAAAGTTGCGACCTACTAAGTATTCTTCTCTATCCTAGACAATAGCGAACTCCTCCGAAGTGACGGGATTCTGGGAAAATAAAAAAAAAGGGTCCTACAGACAGACGTTAGATGATCATACACGAAAAGAAAAGCTGTACTTGAGTTCCACTCATCTCGCACAGTTACAAAACGAAGATGTCAACGAAGAGAAGGATGAATTTTATACTGAAGATAATGAATACCATGAAGACTCTACCATGCCAACAACGAGTACTCAAGCATCGACTGATGTTTCCATGCCTACAACGAGTGCTCAAACATTGATTGATGTCTCTATCCCAATTGAAGATTCAATGTTTGTTGAAAGGAATGAACCGGAGAGTGTAGGACGGATTAAACACTGGACTTTATCAAGTGGAACCGATGTAGGTCAAGTATTGGCTGACTATAGATGCAAAATTCCCGAATCACAAAAATGTCTTGAGTGAGTTTTTTTTACATCTTTGCGTGGTGATTTTATGGTAATTGTAATATTTACTTTTTGGTTTTGTAGCCCCGTTTATTGGGGAATTCTCGATCTTACCGGCTCCTACCAAGAAACAAAACAACTATTCACCACAGAAGATTGGACTGAAATGTTGAAAAGCTTTGAAGACGAGATAGAGATTATCAAAGAAGACATACCTGACGTTATATATTTGTTTTTCAACGAAGTACAGCAGGTAATGATGATCAATTTTCTGTTACATTTAGAATTCGCTCACATTATTCGTTCGTTTCAGATTGTAAAGAATAATGAAAATAGCGAAGGCGTTGTGACAGCAATTGACGGGGTCTCTTTGCGGGAAATAGAAGAAAAGTACGAAATCACTCTCAGTTCACAAGATATAGCTTATATGATTGAAATCAAGAGAGCGGTCCTGACATAGTAAGTGAATTTTGAAATGAAATATGGTCATTTGCCTTTAGATAAATTCTTACAGCTTACTTCTCTTTGGTTATTGTTTTACAGTGCAGAGAACTTGGCCAATATTGACTTGTCGGTTTCAGAGTCTGATTTTGACAACTTGTTTACAAACATGCTTACGAGAAGATTTCTTGACAAGACCGAATTAAAAATGGACGCGTAAGTTGAGAGTCTTAATAATTTCAAAAACTATGACAGTCGATGATTTCTGTTTACTAGTCCCTTTCCATACATATGTTTCTTTAGGGGGGAGATCTGCTTCTGGGCTTCGGCTAAACGACGTAATGAAGGTCGCTCAACCACACTTCGTGCTCGAGTTGGGCAAAAATGCGATTTCCGAGAGACACTAAAACACAGTATCAACAAACTAGAAGCGATAATAGGCCTCCGAAGTGGTGGTCTTCCAGAAGCTCATCCAAAAAAATTTTTTGTGGACTCTATTGACTTATCTATAACAATGAGAGACATCCTCTATACATTTTTCAATTCTAATACGAACGCCCCGGATGAAGATTTGCACAAGATGTTTGTTTTCGGAATCAAATCATGGGGTAAGCAGAAAGTCGTCACAAACTAAACCTCGTTCATAAATATTTATAAATATTATACTCTATTTTAAAGGCTGGACGCATCAGATTCTTGCAATGGATTGCAAGGGGACAAACATTTGTAGGTTTGGAATTTTGTGCACAACAGCCTTACCCAATTCTACAAGGACTCTCGCATGTTTGGAAAAGTTCTATGTAGAAATGAAAAACGTCAAGGTACTTCCTAATTATGTATGTTACTACTTTATAATTTTTTTTTACCATGCATTACCGTTTATGAAATTACAGGCTACTCTCAACTCCATATGCAATAAAGCCAATGATATCGCTCTATCTCATGCTCGAGCATACAGGCTACATAGAAGAAAACGAAAGGAAAAGGACCGAATAGAAAATGCTGAAGTTGAGGTTAGGGGCTGTTTTGGTAAAATTACCGGGACTCCTAGCTCAAAAAAGTCGCGATGTTTGGAGCTTTCTTCATAGTTTTAGTAACATATTTTTTTATTTACGCATTAATGGATTGTACTGACAATATAAAATTATGTTAATTTTACAAGTTTAAACTATGTTAACTTGAAATAGGTAGTATGAAATCTTTAGCTTACATAAGATCCCCTCATGTTATCAGTTTATACAGTATGGTGATTTGTTTTTGGTTATGTTTTTCTTTACTAACTGACTTGTAACTGTGCGATTGTCTCACTTGAATATGGCATGATTTATTTTTGATAGTCCATCTCATAGGAAGGTGTTTAGCGTTAGATTTGTTTGAATGTTTACTAATCTATCATTACAAACAATTTCTAAATGGCTGAACCATTTTTAAAATAGCAGAAGCCTCGCTAATGACAACCGGACTGCATCGGCAAGACTTATTTCTGCACTTGCAGATCTTCTCTTGGTGTTTGTGTTTGGCAAAAGTGGCGTGACATAGCATGACATATTTGCCTGTTCTCACGTCTTCTTATACACTAACAATCAGCTTATTGCTGTTTTGGAGGTGTTGCCAGTTCCGAAAGTTACATGTTCAAGTATATTCTCAAAAGTTACTTGTTTCTCTTCTTTCTTTAGGAACGACCAGATAGTAAGCTATTATTAGCTTAACAAATAACAAGGTATTCAGCTATAGACAATAAGGGAAATGTATTTTGGGCTAAGACCTGACTTGTATTTTAAATCGGATTAACTTTGATTTATGATTTATTATTAATACATTTATTTTTTTTTCATGTGGGTGGACGTGTATCAAATAATAAAATTTTTTTCTTGGCAAAGGTAGTAAAGTCATGTGATTTTTTTTGTATATGTAATATAACGTGCGAGAGGACAGGATCAATCTCCATTCATCCAATTTTAAAGGTGTATCCCAACCTATCTTTGACCCCAGTGGTCAATTTCGTATATGATAAATATTTAATTGTATTTTTTGCATGTATTGGATAATAAAATTTTCTTAGCAAAGAACCAAGATCAGGAAAAAACACGATTTTTTACTTTTGAATATAGGTAATAACATATTAAGCATGAATATTAACATACTAATATTACATTACGCAAGCATGCAATCTGAAATAGATGGTCCTAGTGAGAATGATTTGTTGAAACAATGTATTAGCGAGCTCAAGGCTAAGAATGATTAAATTAGGGCTGAGAATCTTGAGCTTAAGGCCAGAGTTGCAAAATTGGAAGATAAGCAATTGCAAAATGAATTAATAAAAAATCTATTATCTGTATCACAAAACATGTGATTTAATCAGAGTAACTGATCTTCTATCTAATGTGATGCAATTCGTGATATTGACGCGTAAATTTATAATGTTATCTTGCACTCAAAATTTTTTGCGCGAAATTATATCTAATAAAATGTTTCATTCTGAGATTACCTAAAAGTCTTGTCAAGGGAGTATGCAAGAGACTCTTATATCACTCTAAAGATCCTGTTCTGTTAGAATCTATTTCTGAAAAGTCTGAACAAATTGAATCTTATTTGAGACACACATTAGAGGTTTATGAGAATTCATTAAATAAGAAACACAAAAATATGGTGCAAAAGAAGTTAATATGTCCTCAAGCTAGCCTGAATGTAATGTATTCCTAGCATTAGCGACTAAGTTTGCTTTAACAAATGATGACACTTAAACTGATAGTATTTCATGTGATTATGAAGAAGAAAATAATCGTCAGGTCATGCATGAGCTTAAAGTATTATTTTAACACCTGCTTGATTATAATAAAAGAACTTTCAAGAAGTTTATGCAAGATGTAAATCGAGAGTACAATAAGCAGATTAGTGCAAATAAGAAATTACAATGTGAGATTGAGGATCTGAAGATGCAGGTGCAGAAGGCAGAATAAAAGCTGGCATTTGAGAAATCAGATTCTACTCATTAGCTTAGATATTTTTTTCAAAAATTTGATCCTATTCAACCTGTATCTTGTGAGGATAATTTGAAGACATTGTTAAATCAAAGATAATAAAATTGTGATCAAATAAATAGTTAACAACATCTTCATATATGCTACACTAATTATAAGCGAATTCTGCTCAATCCTTTTGAAATGAACCCATTAAAAAGTACAATATAATTTAAGTTTTTTCTTATCAATTTCAGATAGTCAAAAAAGTTCTGTATGATGTACTTACTGCTAATATTTTTGTGACATCCTTCCGTAAAATAAGAAATGATTTTCTCCTAAACTTTCTTTAAATCAGCACATACATCTTTGAATATGATCACTGTACCTATTTCTGAAGAGAATGAATTCAGCTTTGGATTTTATCAGGTTTTATTGCTCAAAATATAATATTTCATAATATGATTTTGGGCTATTCACAATTATCTGATATGTTAATTTAAAATACCTATATTTTGGCTCATTAAGATAGTGGTTGATAAGAATTAAATCATCATATTTGATAAAATAATTTCCTTTTTTTTACACTTAAACATTTGATATAGCTTATTTCTCAATAATAGATTCACAACTTCATTTGTTTTTCCTGAATTAGTCCACTCTGAAATCAAGAAAGTAAAAGGCTATTAGGAAACACTAGAATTGCTGTTATATTTTTTCACATTTTTAATTTTATCTATATGTAAATGAATCTCTCAACTGGCTCAAGCTTTTTGACTTTCATATCAGTTAAACTAAGTATTATTAATAATATATCAAGATAAAAAAAAAAATAGGATAGGTTATTTTCTACAAATCTTTAATCAAGAAAGGAAAATCATTTCTCAATTAGTATATATCTAATAAATAGATAAAAATCTGGAGTATATGATACTTCAATAAGACATATACCTTGCTTCTTGCATATATCCTACTTCTTCTGATCTCAGGATTTTTAATCATCTAAATCTATACTCCCTCTTCTATAGAACATTAAATTAAGAGTATAGTGTTGCTGATCATAGAATTCAAATACTAGTTATATTTTCTCATTATATTCATCAAGTAGCATTCCATTCAAAAATAATAGTCTACAAAATAGGAATTTTTTGTTTAGCAGGTCCTTAAAAATGTATTGTATATTTCTTTCAGTAATATGTCAACAAAGATGATACTACTTAAATTTCTTCATGATGTATTTTAATAGACCATTTTCATAAGACTAAAGATATACATTATGTTCATTTATTTTTCCAGTCTTTCTTAGACATTGACCAATATGTCTTCAGGTATAATCAATAGCTTGATTTAACTCACTATTAATAGGAGAAGCATGAACAAAATTTACAGATAATATACTTTGAGGTGGATATCCAACTTTTTCTGAATCAACTATTAACATGAATTCTTCTCGCACATATCACTAAATGGTGCATATCTTCCATCCAGATAATATAATACTGGTTCATTTTTTATCACTACAATTTTTCAGATTTTATGAAGTTTTGAACTTTAGTATGGATCAGTGCTTCTGCAAACAGCCTCCATTCCTCTTTTTCATTCTGCATTTGCAAGCAGATAGTGAACTGTATCACCTTTCTTCAATACTATTTCATTTTTTTAACCAGATGCTTATATTTGTGAATAGTTTTAATTCTACTTTTTTTAATATAATAGCTTTTACAGATGCAAAATCCCATTTCTCAGTTTCTGATTCTCAGATAAGACATTTAGGATAATTATTTAGATAATCAATAGCTATAGGCAAATGTCTAATCTATACTTTTATTAATTTTGAATTGGGATATATAGATTTAACAGTATCTTGAATTTTACAGAGTATTTTTGTGAGAGTCTTATTAAAACATTCTATTATTGCAAGACCTCTATGACTATAGGGTCTTATTACTCAAATTGTGATAATATATTCCTTCATCTTTTTTAACTAGATGCTTATATTTATGAATGGTGTTAGCCGGAGGGCTGGAAATAAAACTTAGACGATATAATTCAGTCCGTTGAATTAATCACAATAACTTTATCACAATCACGCTTGTATGAAGACACGGCAAAAGGTAATAGTAAATGAATAACAAATATCTTTATTGAACTCTTGGTTTATTCACAAAAC